CTGTAAAGTCATCCTGAAGCGGAAATCACCTCCACAACATATTTATCCAAAATCAACAAGGCCTTCAAAGGTCCACAATCGGCCTTCTGGCATCCTTCAAATACAAAGGGCAGTTAATGTTCAGAATAGTAGTCACCAATTAATCCCAAATGCTCTTATTTATCAAGCTCATACCTCTGTTTAAGTTTTAAATTGCTCCGTTAGCATTTGACTAAGCCTGAAGTGACACAGGTTTGGGGTCAGTGGTTTTACTGCAGAGCTAATGTCACCTTTATGAAGCTTCCACAGATGCAAACTCTATAGGTCTTCTGGGGCCGTTCTGGGTACAATCAAAGGACATAAACATGCTACATTCTCCATTTGAAGAAGAAGAAAGCATGGTGAGAAATACTGACACCCAATTAAGGCTGACCTACCCTGAAGTTTAAAAGGACGCATTTATATCCCACAACATAGTATTTTTTATAAGACAGAACACAGAACTGGCATGTCCTATGACTTAAGGTTAATGCTACTGAGCAAGGTGACTAATCACGAAAACCTGGTACTGTGCCCAGTCACACAGCCTGAGTGATCTTCCCATCGAGCAATATCATGATGGAGAATATAAAATCCAAAGAATTACGAGACAAAAACTTGAGACGGAAATAGTGAGACAGTTTATGTGAACTTGGTGCAATGCTCTTTTCCATCTAAGAGCTGTGAATTGCAACAGATAGGGCCAGCATCTAAGGGTCCCAGGAGGCAGGCTAATGTTACCTACTGCTTGCAACACTATTCTATCACCACTGCAGTATGTTTGTAAAGGACTTTCAGGGGATGTAATATCAGCCCCTGTTATGGTCCTGTCTGTTAGATCAAATGTACTAAATTATCTAGACATAAGACTAGAAAAAAGAAAAAGGAAGAGAAGATTAGGGATAAACAAGACAAATCCCTAGGCTTTGCCTCCTGAAGATATCTTTGTGGAGATTATTTGAGGTTCCTATCGCAGTGGTTTCAGAAAGAGAAGTAGCCTGTGAGCAGTCCTAAGCTCAGTCAGATCTTGTTAAGACCTTGCTGGGGGGTCTACCACTCTCATCTTAGCAGGTAGTTCCACTGCAAATTGCTTCTCCTGAGAGTAAGCTTAAGGGTTTTGGAGGATTCTTCTCTCAAAGGATAGAAGGGAGCAGGCAACAGCAGTGCAAGCTCCTCAAAGCAGAGTTCCCTACCTGCGTGGTCTCCTCTGGCCCACATGAGGGCTAAAAAAGCACCTTTCTCTGAGATTCCTTTGTCTCTTTCTTCCTTTGAAATCCCCAGAGAAAGGACCTGGGCCCTTCAAAACAGTCTCCTTCCCTGGAATCAGAGGTGCCTTCAGATGCAGTCCTAGGATCAGCTTGATCGCTCCGTGGCACGGAGGCGCTCTGCAGCTTTTCTTCATGGGAGATGCCAGGTGCTCAGCCATACACAGACACCTCTCTGGTATCAGCTACTCCTTCTGTGGTGTAAAGGATGAGCATGTGCACTAGAACACAGGGCTGGGAGGACTCTCCACTGCGACAGTTTAAACACTAAGTGCCCCTGCCAAGGCTTAAAGGTTTGATTGGTCCCAGCATGGTACTAGCGGGAGGCAGAGGAGCCTCTAAGAAGTGGGACCTAGTGGGATGTCCTCAGGTCATGGGAGGTGTGATGGGGTCCCCCTGAGGGGAACAGGTGCCTCGGAACCTCCCTGGCCATAACGTAAATGGCCTTGTCTACCATGTGCTCCTCTGTGACGCATGGCTTTACCACATACCCAGAAGCACTGCGGATTGAAATTTCCAGAACAAACTGTGGGCCAAAGTACGCCTTTCCTCTTTGCAAATCCATTATCTCAGGTATTTGTTCTAGGACCTCAGAAAGGATCCTTACCCTTTTACACTGTCCTTGTCCACCTATTCTAGCTACCACCAACTCCAATCTCTAGTACTTGGCAAACTCCTCTGCATCCTTTGAGGCCCTACTCTTTGGCAAAACTTTCCCTGCCCCCATTCATACCAGATTGCCTCTCCTCCCACCCTCCTGAGGCACTCTACTAAAGTAAATGCCACAGGGCTGGTGTATTATGTATCAGGCTCCCCAGCAGTGAGGTTCCCCCTAGAAGTACAACTATACCTACTCCTGTTCACATCCCCAGAGTCAAGCTCATTACATCCTCTAATTCACCGAATGTGGATGCTACCAGCACAAAGGTCGAAGGAATACAACTGGTCTCACCCTGCCCACTTGGCTAAGTAAAGCTGGGCTTTCCCCAGCACAAGGAACTCCAGTCAACAACAGAACCAAACACCACCGCTGTGAGCAAACACGCCATCCTCTGTCACTGCCAACCACATTTTCCAATGGTCTGCTTCATGCCTTGGACTGCCTGGGCCGTACCTATTTACAAGTCTCCAACTTGGATTCCTCTAACTAGACAAGAACTAACACAGACACTTTTAATTATTACCCTGGGGTTCAAAAGTGAGAGGAGCAGCCCCAGGCTGAAAGGGCTCCCTGTCCTCTAACACGTCCATGGGACATTCAGGGGAACAGGGTGTAAACCATGCCAGCATCCAGTCCTCCCCAAAACAGGCACTGCGGCTGGCAGCGGGTGTACCAAGGGCAGCCTCAGAGCTGAGGAGCAGCGGACAGAGGTTCAGTAAACCCAGGGAAGCAATGCCAATGATTAATTAATCTTTGGTTATAACCCAACTTTTGAAAACTTCACTGGGAGAATAAAACAAGGGGCAAAATAAGTGAAATCAAATGACGGAAAAACTATCATTTTTTAAATGCCATTCATTCTTAGGGGTTAATGATTACGTGGACAGAGGATTTACGCAGCAAAGCAACTAGACTCTAATAAGTATTCAGGACTCAACTCCAGTGTTCCTTCGGTTGGTATAAACTATAATGTTGAAAAAAGGATTCACACATCCCATGACATCTATTTTTATAGCACGCAGCCCAGAGTTGGCCGTATCACTTTTAATGACTTGAGATTCCAGAAGAATTATCACTATGGTAACATTTCAAAATGGCCATCAAAGTTACCAGGCACCAGTCCACAACTGTTTGGATCTAGAAGGGCCTTTTAGGACAAATGCATCTGATGATTCTACATTCCCACCAAAGCCTTACTAGAACTTAGCAAACCGGGTCATTTACAAGTATGAGTCAGTGAAAGTCACCTGATACATAACAAGCCCTCAAATATTACGTTATCACTCTGGGCCAGGTGCTTCTAATAAAGGACCATCAGAAAATAATTTATTGATTACCATCTGATGAGTCTTTAATTTTTTGTTAAACACTAAAAGTATGAGAAAAGCAGGAAAGCATACAGTTAGCTATTACTTCCGCTACTTCAATAACTGACTTTAAATAATTTTACAAATTAGGAATTATACAAATTATCTAAGACACAACAGATTTCAAATGTTGAAAAATGCCTGCCAGTGAACCATGAAATAAATACATCCTATGTTGGAAAACATCCTCCAATTCTTAAATTCCTCCTAGTCCTCAAAAATCACTTAATTCCCTTGGAGCCTCATTTTCATAAAAAAACAGAAAGTGACCTCAAGGTCAGCACTGTGTGCATCAGTACCAGGGACTCGACCCTCACCCAGAGCCAACAGACTGAAAATCAAGAGCTGGGAAAGACCTCAGCAATGTGCTTCTCAAACCATTAGTTTTCACGCATTGGCAGTTCTCAAAATAAGTTTTAAAACTTTTCTCACCAGCAGCAAAACAGAACAAGAAAATACTGTGGCCCTAGTTGGATGGTAAGTTGTGTTAAGTAAGGAGGGTTTTGGAAACACTTATTTTAGTTTTATACTTATTTTGTCTTGGGATCATGATGTAAATCTGTGTTTTAATATGGGTCTGGGAAAAATGAAAAATTAAAAATTAAAACCACTGATGTGGTACGACACCTTATTTCCAAGTGAAGTGAGCTGATGTACTCAAGGTCATTAAAACATATTAAGCCAGGGTACATTCACGCAGGAGAATTTGAGCCTGCCTGAGTTTTAAACATTTTTTTCCTTTGATCAAAAAAAATTCACAACAAGCATCCTGTAGGCTGAATCCACAAATAATTGTATTTTAGAAATCAAGAGAACCACTGACACACATTCTCCCTTTAACTGAGCTTCTAGACCAGACGCCCTGTTAAATGGGCCCTTGCGATGCCATACATTTTTAATTACAATACCATGGACCTGCAGACAGGGTGCTACAAGTGAGAACCGTGCTTTCCAAGGGTTACACAGGAAAAACCTCATCCACCCCTGCCAAAAGCTCACAGCATTTTCTGAAGCCATTTACCAAGGAAAGACACACACTCACACACAAGCCGTCCCAGGGACATTCTAGCCCTGGGCCTGCCAGGTCCTACTGTTTGGGCTCCCATGGAAGACATAGGTGAAGCCCAAACTTCTACTCCTGAGAAAGCCCCATTCTCATGGGGAAGAGCAAGGAAGCCCCAGCCTCTGTCTCAGGGAGCTGAGAGCTGAGACCATACAGACAGAGCCTGTTCTCACTCGAAGACGGAGTAAGTGGAAAAGTCAGCCTTAGCAACATATTAAGGTTTTTGTTTTTGTTGTTTTTGTTTTTTAATGCACAGAAGTAAAACAAAGGGAACAGAAAATGGACCACAACATTATTGTCCAGGTAAAACCTGCTGACATCTGAAAAGAATAAAAACAATAAAAACTCACGATTACAAAACCTACACAGTGCCAAAAGAATGTCAGAGGAGCAGCAAGTCTCTCGCATGTGCAGTTGCCTTCCACAGCAGTAAGAGCTCACTACTTTCTGGGATTCCTTCTGGAAAACTTTTTAATGAGGATGCCAGCATATATGCGCTTTGTAAATCAGACCTGGAAGATCAGTGTACATACACTGTTTTACTGCTTTTTCCACTTAGTTTTGTAACATCTCTGACAGTTTCTAAGAACAAAGGATTTGAATTCTACCCTTTGGAAATGTGTAAGGTAAAAGCCAATTCAAGACACACTGTTTTTATGTTCACTTTCTAATACTTTTGTCCTTTAGCAATGACACACGTGGGCACTGAGGAATGGTCCTACAGCAGGCCTGCGTCAGCCCCATGCTTGACTCCACACAGCCACCTGAGAAGGGAGCTAGGGGCTGGACTCGTGCACATGGCAGGGAACTGCAAGGGAACTCTCCTGACCAAGAGGTTAGAGCTGAGAGGTCAAGCCAGGTCTGTCTGAGTCTCACGCTGTACCTCCTACTCGGTGGACCTTTCTCATCACAGGACAAAGGTGCTGCCTTCTCCAACAGAGATACGGTTAAAGGGCAAACACCGCTGTCCAACACCTGGCTTTGGAGAAGAGGCTAGAAGGGACTCAAGCGTGTAAGAGGAGGTAGGGCTGCGGGCCTGACCTTCCACAGGTAGCCCTGGGCAGTATCTTCTCAGGGCTGAATTCAAATGGCTCAGTGACCAACCAGACGCAAAGCTCATCCTTAGACCAAGAAGCCCGCCTGGCTCCACGTTCTCAAAGTAGCTCTTGGCTGCTGCTAGGAGCAAGTACCATCAGAGCAACTCAAGCAAGAGAGCAGACCCCAGAACAGGAGATGGGGAGGGCAGGACACTCAGCCAGGCTGCTCCCTGGGAAGCAGGGCAAAGGCGGCCCTCATCCCTGCTCTGCAGCATGCGTGAGGGGCTGAGACGCAGGAGCCCCAGCCGCCTGACAGTTCTCAACCACCCAGCCGAGACAGCCGTGTGCCAACAGACAAAGGGATGTGTGACGGACAGCAGCAACAACAGGCAGGATTTCTCCTCCAACATCACTGCTCACTACAAGTTCTTGAATAGCTGTGTGCTTGCAGATCCAGAAAGGTGCACTGTTAAAAGTGAGTAAAACATTCACCTTCAGTGAGTAAAGCGGCTCCCTCGTGTTCTGCTCTGCTGTGATGGGAGAAGACAGTAAGACAGATTTACTTGGAGTCAGCCGAGATGGGCGAGCCATGGTGCGGACAGAACTTTCTGGGCCTAGCAGCCCTGGCCTGGCCCGCATTCTTTTGGGGTGACAGAGAGCACTGCGGTTTCCCCATCCTCCAGCCGCTGCCTCGTGGTGACTAAGCCCACAGGAATGAATGCAGGCCAGTGTTTGACCCACCCGGAGCTGAGGCAGGCAGGGAAAAAGGCCCTCTCGGGCCAGGCCCTGGCCCTTGCCCCGGTCCCTGGGAGTGTGGGGAGGTGGGGAAAGCCACGTAGGCGGGAGCAATGCCCACCTGGGCTCAGGTAACACGAGCTGTCCGTGGGGCCCTGCAGTGGCATCTGGCCCCACACTTCGGCCTGACGTTGCCAAGAGATCAGAATGTCAAGTGTGCTCGACTCAGTAGCACATATACCAGAAAGCCAAGTTTCAGGATACACCTTTATCTCCTTAAGAAAGGCATCCCGTAAATGCCAGTAACTCTGGACAGGCAGCCACAAGCCTGGTTTGCACAATAAATAGAAGACAAAAAAATAACACTAGGCTGCATTGGCTCAACCACTTTTTAGGAGTCTGATTCACGGCAAACGTCAGCCATCGAAAATCTAATTTTGATAAATCATTTCCTGACACTTCATATATTTTACTTTCTTTATGACAATTAATTTTTTATAGAAGACTAAAAAGTTTACTGTAAACCACATCCCTTTCTTCCTTTACCACAACCTGCTATTTATCAGAACTAAAGCGTTCACCCATTTTCATAACATTAAGGAATAGTTTTAAAAACAAAGCAGTCCCTCTAGTTAAAAATCAGCCAAACAAAGGTGCCCGATCACTAATCAACATCAAAATTTTGCCTCCTACCTGAAATAATCCATTGTTGTAAAACTAAAATCTCTTGACGTGGGGTAGGGGTAAAAGAGAATGTAAACACTCAGACAAAGGAAGAAATTAAAATTCAGAAGCAAGTTGCTTCACCATTAAGCATCTGAAATTTAACAAGTGCAATACCTCTGAGCTACATCCCCTGCCTGATCCTTCTCTTTCCACAAGAATCACAGACATTCTCTGATTAAGAGAAGAGGGGTGAGGGAGAAAGATAAAGGGAGAGAAAGGGAAGGAAGGAGAGAGAGAAAGAGGAAAAAGGAAGGAAGGAGAGGAGAAGGAAGGAGAGAAAAAGAAGAGTGAGACAGAAGTAGGGAGCGGAACGTGCCAAGGGCACAGAACCCTCCACCACATTGAATAATCACTAGGTAGCAGTGCAGAACATCTCCAGACATGGAAAACCAGGGCGAAACATCTCTAAGAACTCACCAAACACTGTACCCAGCCCCGCTCAGAGTGGGACAAGACACCAAGTTGCTACTAGGTGTGGGTGTGTGTTCATCGGGGGCTCCCCGGGAGGCGTGGGTGTGGTATGAGGATATGACAGGAAAAATGCGGGATGTGGGATCCCAGGATGGTGGGTCTAGCTACTCAGCCACAGGACACCTTGTGCAGGTCTCGTGTCTCCACTTTCTGGTTCACAAAAAACGGTATGGCAGAATCCCCGACTGTGGCATACCCTATACACTGCGGATCTGGGTGGGGCGCCTGCTCAAGGAGCAAGCTCAAGTCATTGCTCAAGGAATTCCAGTCATGTTCAGAAACAGTATGTCCATTTCCTTCCTTCCTCCCTCCCTTCCTCCTTCCCTCCCCCCCCCTTCCTTCCTTCTTGCCCTTCCTTCCTTCCCTCCCTTCCTTCTTTCCTTTCTGTGAGTGTGTTTCTTTTCTTCTGTTTTTGAGATGAGGTCATAGTATTATGCCTCAGGCTTGCCTCAAACTCACAATCTTCCTGCCTCAGCCTCCTGAGTACTGTGATTATAGGCATGTGCCACCACATCCAGCCACTGTTCTTTTTACGACAATTATTGCCACAGAGGTCCAGAGGGAGACTGAGGTCATTCACTCATGCAGACAACTCAAGCAAGAGGACCATTTCCACATGATGCCTCCGCACGTCAGAGTCCACACCCAAGTGTCCAAGAGAGGACTGGCCTATCATGCACAGTCCGTGGGTTAGATCAAAGGGGCTGGGACCCTGGAGGTCCAGTTCTTTGCAGGAGTTGGGGTAGCACTGTGGGAGTTATGCTTTAGAATGAGAATGTCCCCAAAGGCCACATGTGCTCCTAGGCAGGGCTTTTACAAGGTGACAGAATCACAGGGCCAAGATGATTTGCTGTTGGGAGGGGGGTCTGGTCAGAAGAGGATGGCCACTCAGAGCATGGCCTGGAAGGTGCAGCTCCCTTCCTGGCTCCTCCCTGTCTCTCCGCTTGCTGACCTTCATGATGTGAGCAGCGTTCCTCTGGGCCAGTGCTCCTCCCACAGCGTCTCTGCCTCGGAGCAGCCAACTGCAGGCTGAGAACCTGAGCCAAACCGACCCTCTCCTCCTCTAAGTTGTGCGTATCTCATCCCCGCAACACAGAAAGTGACTAGGACCACCGAGGAGGAAACAGCGTTCTAAGCTGCAAAATCCCCAAATGGACAGGGGTCTTCTAAGAGGTTGTGAAGAGCTTTAATGAAAACTTAGGGAGAAAAAAGCCATTCTGTCACCACTGTAAATGCCTGGTATTTAGACGTGGTCTCTTTTTCTTTCCTATTCACGAACACGGAAGCACGGAAAGCTCTCAGAAGAGGGGACAAAGGTTCTGACGGAGTAAGTCACTCTGTTCTGCCATTGGAGGGACAGCTTCACCTCTGCAGGCCCGCAGAGCCACTCACGGCACTACCCAGCGCTCCTGCTCCAACCGAGACCCCTGAGAGCAGCAGCAGGGGAGCCGCATGCAGGAGAACTGCAAAGCGGAAGGAAGAGAAGCCAGGTTCTCACAGGGCTTCACCTTCGCAGCTCAGTGTGGCCTTGGCTAACCCTTCCGAACTTTTTCCATGTCACAGTTTCTCCCCTAGGTCACTACGACTTTTCTGGGGATTAGGCGGAGCACGTTAAGTTGCTTCCTAGAGAGCGCTTGTGGAACAGAGAGGCCAGCTGATGACTTTTCTTTTGTTTTCATGGCAGCTTGCCCTTGAATAACCAAATCGGTAGATCCTGCATAGGTCTAAAGGGCCCTGGGGTGAGTGATGAGGTGTCTGGGCCCCCTGCTGTCTTCCTTCTCTCTGTACACACAAGATGTCTTCACTGACCGGAAGGGAAGCCTCCCCTGACTTTCTACTCCAGGGCACGTTGGACAATGGCAAAGCACTCTAGAGCTGTTCTCTCTAAGCAGGACCTCCTCTGAGTTAAAGAAGTACCTTGCTGTACAAGGTACTTTATTCACAAGGAAAAACAAGGTTGAGTGTCCATGACAGACGTCTCCACTCCACCCAAAAATGGGGCCCATCAGCCAGCAAAAGGTCCTGTGATCGCTCTTATTTAACACCCAGCCGGGCACTGACAGGAGAGTACCCGCTGAGGCTGCTGGGGAAGGGATTCCTGGGCCGAATTGGGGACCAGACTGAGGAACGGCAAAGCTTCCGCTACACTCATTGACTCGGACAGCATGTTCCCCGCACCAGAAGCCCCTGCCTGAAAGCTGTCAGTGCCAGGACGCCAGGTGGGACACACGATGGTCCTCCATTAACCACCCAGAGGGACAGCTGCTCCCTTCTGGAACTCATTTCTGGAGTCCACAAATATAGTTTCCTTCACATCTGAAAGTTGAGTCTTCTTACGAAGTCGATCTTGGGAGCTGAAGGTACACCTGCCTAGCATGAGAGGGACTGGGTTCACTCCTCCACAGCACCGAAGATAGATAGAGGATAGATAGATAGACAGATATAGACAGATAAATAAAGAATCAATCTTGTTAGCACACGGCTGTGGCTTGCAGCTCACAGATGATCCTAATGGACTACTCTTGCTGGACAGGGTGACACAAGATAGTAAAAGTTAATCGTTATCTGCTGTAATTTGGCTTTGTCTGTGAGCGCAAATGTTTACTCATTACTACCACGTTGAAAGATAGAACAAAATCCTGAAAGATGGGTAAATTTTTTAATTCTTTCTATTCTCTCCAGATATTAATCACCAATACAATTAACTGTGGATTGGCCGAAACTGCTCCAATGTGTTTCAAACCCGCTAATTAAACTATGCCTCATTACATAATAAAAATTCAGAGAGGCCTTGGGCTTCTGGGCATACAAAGCAGGAGAATCAAATCCATTGAGTCCTAATCTACTGCCTCACTTAATAAACAAATAATGTTAAGAACATGCATTTAAAAAAAAAACCTAAATGGCCTCATAATGTAGATAGTGCAAGCCTTCCCGAGATGCTAAATGAAGGCTCTGACAAGAGCTAAATGAGCTGTTTGTTATCCAATAAATTCGAGGCCTGGGGATGCTGCCTTCCCCCTTGGCCCAGATTGCTCAGAAAGCAGTCAGTATCATGATCCATGCTAAATGGAACTGCCCTACTCTATAGTCTATAATCCAAGTCACTCTACTAACGGGCAGAAAAACCCAGCTAACTTCAAAACTCCCTCATCATTTCATTACCTCAAATGACAACCTTTTCCCACTACTTTATCTTCGCTTTAAGTACCAGGAGCTGAAAGATGCAATCAGTTTAATATCTCTCTCTGCCCATTTCCATTACTTATTTGTTTCAGCAGCTCCTCAGCCACAAATCCTTCCTTTGCCCATTCATGCCTGCATACTTAACACAGATTTAATATTTCTACAGGCTAAAGATCATATGCTGAGTTTTTCTTTGACTGGAGGAGAGAGAGACAAGGAGAGAAGGAGGGAGATGTCTGGAATTTCTTTGTTCAAGCAGACAACTCCCTCTGAAGAACAATTCTCAATCAGAAAAAGTTATAACAACTTTATGCTTTCATCTTCAAATTTACTTTGTGGATTTTGTGTCATCCCATGGCCCTGAAAGACCCTGCTCAATAGCCCTGGAAGTACAGCGGAGAGTCTACCCCTAGACAAGGACCATAACTCAATACTTCACAAAAATCATCACGTGAGTAAGAAGCTGAATGTCAGCCACAGAGAGACTAAGTCAAGTCCTTGGAGGGCAAGAACCACACATGCTTCCTGCCTCCCCCATCCAGCGCTACCTCGTGCGGATGTTCCTGACTCCACGTGGAATCTTCCCTGCCAGAAAAGCAGGGAGTGAGGAGTGCAGAGTACCCATTCCGAAGTCCACACGCTCCCGCACATTTGGAAAGTGCTAAGTCCTCAGAGGGAGCTTTTATAAGGGATATAACGTAGAAACAACCAGCTTCCAAGTCACTCCTAACTTCCCCAACAGAGAGAAAAGTTATCACCTTCGGGCGAGAGCTCATGAAGCTGCATAGAGAGAAAGGAAGTATGTATGAATCAGACCTATACTAGCATGGTTAGGCCATCTGTGGGGAATAAAGGCATGGACCTAGGTGGGACCTAAACCACCATTCAGGCCTCTGCTTTGATGAGCTATCTACTCCATGTTCCAAATGCCCTGCCGAGTTCTGGAGTGCAATCCATTCACAAATTGAGAGCTCTGTCTACAATGCTGGGCAAACAGTATGGAGCAAGTGTGGGCCTTCTCAATGAAAGGCCTCTATGTCACCTGAGACAAGTATCTGCTCCATGGAATCCTCTGAATACTCAGCTCCTCTACTCTGAGCTCTTAGCACTTGCTGCCTCTACTTTTTCTGCCTTGTCACCCATTTGAAGTTGTCACCCTCTTCTTTTTATGTCCTGTGTTTTTACCTTATCATTCAACTAAATCTTAAGTTTGTATCCTCTCATACTGCCCAGCATGGAACATGCCCAAAACAAAGGTGGCTTCACAGACTGGCCGGAGTAAGTGTGAAAACCAGCAAAGACATATCAAGACCTAACTTAGACATCACTTATGATTCAAACATCTTCACCATTCCCCTCTCCCACAGGAATGCTGTGTACGTAACACATTCTCTCCTTCTCCACGAACGGCACTGGGCTGATATCAACAGGAGTGGTGGAGAGCAGCACGAGACCCAGAGTAACTCACAACCTAGCGAAGGTTAAGAACTCACCCAAAGCAGGATGCATGCATGTACACATGTGTTCTCTCCACCCCACCCCACCCCTGTTAGTAGGTTGGTGTATTTACTCTGGTCATGACCAGGAACCACTTTGGTCATCTGAAAATATTTTACAAATCCCTTTTTCAAATTCCCATACCTATCAGGGACAGTCCAAGAGCACAGTCTGGGGTACACAATGCAGACAGGGTGTGCTGCTCGCCCCTCGCATTCACACTGCTCTGACAGAGGCACCTCCTTAGTCTGCGGGCCTCCCTGGTCCTAGCCCTCCTCTCTCTAGCTTCCTCCTCCCTCTCATGCCAAGCCTGCCCGTCATCATGAGAACCAAACCACGCAGATACTAAGTATGGTCCAGCCTACACAGGAAGTGGATTTTTACAGAAAATCTCCTCCCCGGGTCTCCTACTGGCTAGGAAGCTGGAAAAGCAAAAAGCATCAACAGGGGATCAGTCCTAAAAACTGAGTGTTTTATAAACTGTCTGGGGAGAGAGATGAGTGAAGACTGAACAAGCTTCCCAAACTACTGATGGGGTACAGAAATGATCGCAGTGGACCGAGCAACCGTCCATGGCTCCGTTCCAACAAGGAGCCACCTGGAGGCCACACCTCAGTAGGGACAGTCTGGAAGGCCCGTGGGAAGACTGAATGGATGACAGTTAATGAGAAACTTCAAAGAGCATGGCCTCAGCCCTTCAAGTTTGCTGCGGCTGAGGCATACATGCACGTGTGCCAAACCCAGATGCCTGTGACCCGAGGACAGCGCAAAATGCACCCAACTCGCAAACCACTGAGAAAGCATTTTAATTTTGCTTTGACCATTCCAACAGTATGGTGGAGTCCACAGCACCTCACGGCACCATGGAAGATATCTACGGTCAGGCATGGCAGGAAGAGACTCTTGCTGGATGATATACCAAGTTGCTCAGATTCTGGATGAGGAAACGCTGGCATTAGTCAAAAAGACTGATTTCAATGAATTTAAATTCATTCCACACAACTGAGTTACATCAGTGTTTCTTATGAGTATTTATAAATAATTCGCTCCGGTAACAGCAAAAGCCAGACCAGAAAAAGTCACTTCAAACATACAAGGCTTAATTGACATATCCCACCTGAATTTCCTGCTCTCAACTCCTTCTGTGATCATTTTGATTTTTTCTGCCCCTTAACTGGGACACTTCACTAGCCTTTTAACCTCTACGCCCATTGCCTCTTAGAAAGCCCTTTGGCACTTGTGAAGTGCAGCCACCCCCTAAGGACACAGCCCACCCCTCTCAAACCAATCCTGGAGTCGGTTCTCAAAAGTAGGGTCCATCCAAAAGAGGCTGACTGCTTCCTACTATTCCAACTCTACAACGCCTGTCCTCAGTCTTAGCAGCACTTACCAAAAGCCAAGGCCAACAGATCCATCCAAGGTCTCCACCAACCTCCTCCTCTACACACTCAATCTCAGAGCTGGAAGGAGATTCAAGGCTTACTCAGCTCAAAAGATGAGAAAACTGAGGAGCAGGGCAGGCAGTGTAGCTTCAGGCTACTCACCCAGGCTACAGTGGAGGAGCTCTGATTTATGCGTCTGCAATAAACAACGATGCTTATGTGTCCACAATTTTCATGCAATTTCCCCTGATCCTTAGGCTAGGTTGCCACCTTTACCTTCCTGCCATTTGATTATCTAGGCCACTTGCCTCTCCAGCCTGGCTTGGTAATGGAAAGGCAGTGATGACAGGTCTGCATTTATTTGAACATACTGGCCAAACTTGAGAGGGAGTTACTGGAGGTTGAAGAGCTGGCATAGCAAAGTCCACACTTCGCACATTTAAAAATGTGCTGCATATACTGAGCACAACCTCAGCCAGCTCACACTAAACCGCTCACAGACCATGCCCCTTTTATTTACTAACTGAAACGGGGTCTGAACATCATGCCCAGTACCATTTCTCTCTAATAACCACGGGATGCCTTCTCATCTCCTGCAGCCCTTTATCTATGCTCTGAGGCTTTCCAAGAATTAGGATAACAGAGCCCAACAAGATCAAGTTGTAGTTATCCAAAGAAGCAAAATAAGCCTCCCAGTGCAACCAAATCAAGCTGGGCGTCTGAAGTTCCCTCAGTCTCTAACACTAAGCACGAAGTCAGGAGTCTATGACTGAGGTCTGGGCCCTTCACACTCCCTCACAATGAGCAGCAGCCGCTGAACACCGTCACTGCTGTACAGTCATCAATAAACCCCAAAGCAAATTAATCCTGCCGAACAAATTCCTCTTATTATGTCAGCCTGTTAGGTCAGCTCTGGCCATTTCATCCAGAGTTTATCAATACAAACTGCGTTACTTATGCCCAGAAGTTCAAACCACCACCTAAGTGCCTATCTCTGGCAACATCCTCTAAGGAGGTCGTTTCGTTTTGCTTTCATCACAAACAAAAAATGTTTGTTGAGTTAAAGAAGCACTCCTTTGAGAAAATTGTACATTCTCAGAATTCCATTCATAATCATATATGACATCAAGATCCTTCCAGACTCTATCCCCACAGTGGCCACAAAAAAGTGGGGGGCCAGGCAAGAAGTAAGGGTTAGGAGAAGAGGCAGGAAATACAGCGGTCTCAGAAAGTGACACACGCCACCTGCATCACACAACCAGGACAGCACATGAAGTGCCAAGGAGGTGGAACCAGAAATACTACTTACACTTAAGCGTAAATACTTACGCTTCTCGGTCCTCCCTTGGGAGGGACAGCAAGCACTTGGTACACTTTCTGCAACTTTTCTTTAAAACCCTTTCTAAAGCTTCTCTGACACAGCTATTCCAAAGCTACTGAAAGGAATATGGATATATTACAAAACAATCCAATCATTCAAATCCACTGAGTAACAGAACAAAACTGTACCCCAACACCCTATCCGAGGAACAGCCTAAGAACCTAATAATATCATCTACTTAGCAAAGCATAAGGAGGCCATTGAAAAGTCAAGAACTCAGACAAATATCATACTAAGTTACATCTCAAGAACACAGCTAATCTTTTTTGGACCTACGGATCTATTAGTCTCTGTCTCTGTATTACAACTAATAATACCTTTTGAGGGGAAAAAATTTCCCCCTAATTCAACCTGGGCTGTCTAGGAAGTATTTCTAATAATATCAAACTTCATCTTTCTATTTTTGTATTGTAAGCTCTCTGCCTCCTAGTCTGTTTGTTATTTTCCTCTCCTCTTTACTACTAAGCCCAAATACCTGGTCTCAGCAGCTGCTAAAAAACACCCAAGCACACTGCACCAGCAGGAAATCCAGAACAGCAGGCTGGGCCCATAGACTGGCTGCCAAGCTGACCCTCCTCACCAAGGGCCCTGTGGGCACAGGTAGCCTAGCACCCAGACTGGCCAGTCTCAGTGCTATTGGCTGCTCTTGGCCAGAGCTTGCTCACACAGGATGTCCAAGCTCCACAGCTTTCACAGGCTCCAGGAACCACAATAATCCCCCTTCCCTGCAGTTTCAGTCACCCACAGTCCGCTGATGTCCAAAAATAATACGTGAAAAATTCCAGAAATGATTCCCAAGTTTTAGGTTACACTTGTTCTGAGTATTGTTATGAAATCGTGAGCCATCTGTCTCTGTCCTACCTGGGGGCAAATCGTCCCTCTGTCTGGGGCCTCTATGCTATATATGCTACCTGCCTATGAATCACTCAATAGTCACCTTGGTTACCTGACCGACTGTCACGGTATGTAGTGCTTATGTTCAAGTAACAATTATTTTACTTAATAATGTCCCTAAACTACAAAAGTTAGATCAGCAATTTTATCAGTGTATTTTTATAGTGTTCAATTTTGTTACTGTTGCTCATCTCTGACCCACTTATAAGTTAAGCTTTCTCACTGGTGTGCATGTATAGGAAAATTATAACATATGTAGGGTTTGGTACTATCGTAGTATCGAGCCTCTACCAGGGGTCTCGGAACATATTCCCCTCAGAAAGTGCAGGGGGCTCCTGCACAAGCTCACCTACTCTATCCAACACCTTCCTTAGGATTTGCAGTAACAAATTAGAGGCACCTACATATTCGTTCAGTCTGCACAGCTTCTGTCACCAAGGATATGAGGATCAAGCCACCGAGAGTCCCTAAACACACAGCCTCTGTTCCCATCCCACATGGATTCCATGAAAAATCGCAGAAAGAAAGAAAACAGGACTGGATGCTTGTTTGTGACCAAGGGAAAGAAAACAAGAAAGCAACTTATGTTCAATAATGAAGTGAAACAGAAGCCCAGCTTCCGGAAGAGGGCCTGGCATTCCTGCACAGCATTTTCCCACCCACCTGATCCCCTGGAACGGAAGGAAGATCTAAGGGAAGACAGAGAGAGACAGTGTTTGTTCCCTGCAAGGGGGGGTGAGAGGAGGAATATGAAACAAAACAGGAGAGGAGGCTGGGTGGGAGAAAAAAATGGTACACATGCACACACAAACATACAAATATACACGAACACACAAATCAAGGGATACATGTGCAACTCTACCCAAAGGACAGAATAAACAGGCACAGGCTCCAGCCTGCAGGAGATGGTTGCCTACCTTCACTTAGCGAGGTATGCTGTTGTCACAAACAAAAATGCTCCTTCTTGTTATCTTTACCCACTTTAACGATCACTTTAAGACTCTCAAAACACCCCACACACTTTTAAAAGATAATATGTATGGCCAGTATCAAACAAGAATCTGTTGATATTCCTTAAGTTCTCTCAAATTTTGAGTTTGCACACAGAATAAACTTACAGACTTTAATAACCAAATAAACAGAGTTTACACATAACTTTGGAGGCCCCTTGGACATCCTGATACAGACATATATACACTGTTGAATGTTCTTTAAGGATATGGCTTATCTGGACAGACACAAGAATCTGAACAATTTGAATTAAATTAGCAAGAACCACTCCTATGGCCATGCCCTGCTATTTATAATAATTGAATTTTTTGCAATTTAGGACAATTTAAGATATGGCAGTAAACATATAGTTAGTTCAGCTTAATGTTCAGAAGTTTAGATAGTGTCAGAATGTAGTTTTTACTTTAATTTTTTAAAACAGTATCAGCCAGTACTCCCATGTACTAAGAACTTGCTGTATGCTAGGCACCCTGGTAGGTGTTTTCTAGTACTAGCCTAATAAATCCCTGTTTCACGGATGGAAGGTGAGACCAGCCTGGCTACCTCAAGTAAAGATGAAATATTTCAGCACAGGTCAATTTTCAGAGATGCCAACTTTTACAGCCTAAGCCCAATTCACCTCATATGCTACAAGAAGGTACGTAACCAAAAGATGGCTTCCAGCTCCACCACTAGTAAAAAACTTCACTTCTGCACACTCTATACAGTGGAGTTGAGCAACACAGTCCAGGTCAAGATTAGCCACAAGCCCACATGCTCCACATTACCCCCCACTCCAGTTGAGAATGTCACATGGGCATACACACGAGAAGAACAAGAGAGAAATGTTAATGCCACAAAGAAAGAGGCTTCTTAGAAGCAGGTAGAAACAAGAACTGTCCTACAAGTAGGCTTAACTGGTAAATCTCAGAAACTGTGGGCACTTTCCAGATACCTCACATCGCAAAAATCACTGTAAGAGTCATTCTGAAAGCTTTTTAGTGCCTAAGATGAGATCCCTATTAAAAACTAACTTCTGAAGCAGACCCTAGAGAGTAACACTTCAATCAGATGACAATTAGCCCAGAGCAAAGCCTTTCAGGAACACACTGTAAGAGATGGGTAGGCCAGTTCCAAAGAGGCATGGACGCAAACTACTCCACTGTCTTGGTAACAGCGCTGACAGCGGGGAGAACAGAAGGTGATCTCTGTGTCTGCTTCTACAAAGCACAGCAGTAAGGTCCTCGGGGGAGATCACCCCACACTGGAACAGCTGAGAAGAGCAGGGCTGTTCTGGGGAATGAACACAAGCTCCCAAGAAAACACAAAGGAGGAGCGCATTTGCTCAGGGGCCAGCTTTCTCACTCAGGGCCGCTGGCCTCTTGCAAGGCCCCACCTGAAAATCCAGGTCCACATCATAATCCACCTCAGCAGTCTGGAGGAGCTGAGCCTGCTGGAGCCTGGAGGCAGAACGAACAGCGTGGGACAGACATACACTCTACTCTGCACAGGCAGCAGATGTTTAAACAAATGCTAAGGTGAAATACTGCATGTTACGAGTGGACTCTCATGGTAGAGAAACTGTGTTCTCCACCCCAGTTCAGCAGGTGATTTACAAATGCTTAAGCAAGTCTTCCACCTTGACCTGGAAGGCCAGGTGTATCAACCTGTAAGAGGGGGGGCGAACCTTTTAGAGAACAAGTACCCCAACTGCAACACAAAATCTACTTATTTATCACAAGGCTCCAACACTGCAATTAAACCTCAATGCTCAGCTGCTGGGGTGACACTGGGGTGACCTGGCCTGCTAGGACAATTTGGCTCATGTGCCCACAAACAGGGCTCTCTCTGTGTTCCCTGCCCGCTGCGGCATGCATGTCACAGGTTCACCACCACTGAACTACAAGACAGCTAGGGAAGGGAACAGTTCTACTTCACAAGCCACTGCCACCCTCACCAGACTTATTTGATAAACTAGAACTCAAGAGAACCTGTAACAGGAAAAAATGTAGAACTGTCTTTTTTACACGCCTGCCATCTTTTTAAGTCCCTGATCCCATTAGTGGCATAGCAGTAAAATATTTTCCTTTTGTCAATAAAGGGAGCCATTTACTGGCTTCTCACTGGAAGGCTCCAATCTACTACTTACCTGGTTTCTCATTTCAGAGGCAGAAAGGAAATTCAACAAACGCCAGCACCACTGCTCCCAGTCTATGTTCTCTCAATCGTCATAAGGCTACTCCACCAGCAAAACCAGCTTCCAACACAGCCAGGTGTTCTTTATGGATTTCCGGCAAAGACCAGGCCTTCTTCACACATTCCATCAGGATAACGTGAGTAAACCATAAGCTTTCACCCCGGTGGACTAAACAGTACTTCGAGATGAGGCTTAGTAGCAAGGTCTAAGGTTCTAGTGTTTTTCTGACTTTTTGCTTTGTTTTGTCTTTGGAGGAGGTGGCTATACCTGAAATTGAACACCAGAGAGCCCCCATGTTAAGCAAACAACAAGGCACCACTTAACCAAATTCACTGGGAAGTAAGAAAACCACAGGCACTCTGGAGGGTTCACCTCTGCACCTCCCTGCGTGTGGTTGGCCTTC